CGGGGACAAACTGCAACCGAGGTACATGCCCTTAGCGGGAACCGAACCCGGGTCTCTCAGGACCGCAGGCCGATGCTCTAACCGCTGAGCCAAACCGGCCAGGGCTCATTCACTTATTTAATGACTGTCTATTGAGAGTCTATGTTGGGCTCTGTTTTAGAAGCTGGGGACAGAACAGTGAACAAGAAAAAGTCCTTGCCCTTATGGAGTTTACATTTCAGTGGGGGATAAAAACGTAAGCAAATAAATATAAATATGATGCCAGGTAGTGTGAAACGTAATGAAGAAAGATAGAGCAGCATGGGGGGTGAAAGGGCGACTCTGCCATGTGTGTGGATGTGTTGAAGAGCATGGTCCATTGAAGCTGAGGGGACCTGGAGAAATAGTGTCAGGCTGGAGGAACAGCAGATACGAAGTCTCCAGGGAGGAAGGAGTTGAGTGTGTCTGAAGACTAGACAGATGGCTGGTGTGGCCAGGCGGACACACTGGAGAGTGGAGTGAGGAGAGGAGGTTGGAGAGGCAACAGGGAGGAAGTCGTGGAGTGCCCTGCAGACCATGCTAAACCACGGGGTCTGAGTGTGATGGGATTGGAGGATGCGGGGCTGTGGATGGCCCCCCTGCCAGCTCTGTGCAGAACTGACCATTGGGGGCAAGATTAGAAGCAGGAAACCTGGAGGCCTTTATAGTAGTTTGGATGAGAAAGGATGGTGGCTTGGACAAGAGAGAAGGCAATGGAGGAGGGGAGAAGTAGTCAGGTTTGAGATGTACTTTTTTTTTTTTAATTCTCACCTGAGGATATTTTTCCATTTATTTTGAGGCAGAGTGGGAGGAAGAGGCAGAGAGAGAGAGAGAGAGAGAGAGAGAAGGAAAGGGAGGGAGGGGAGGGGAGGGAAGGGAAGGGAAGGGAAGGGAAGGGAAGGGAAGGGAAGGGAAGGGAAGAGAAGAGAAGAGAAGAGAAGAGAAGAGAAGAGAAGAGAAGAGAAGAGAAGAGAAGAGAAGAGAAGAGAAGAGAAGAGAAGAGACATCGACGTGAGAGAGACACATCGACTGGTTGCCTTCCACATGACGGACCAGGGCTGGGACCAAGTTGAAACTGAGGTACGTGCCCCTGACCGGAATCAAACCTGCGACTCTTTGGTCTATGGGCCGATGCTCCAACCACTGAGCCAAACAGGCCAGGGCTGAGATGGACTTTGAATGTTGAGCTGATTTGGCAGTAGGTTTAGATGCAAAGGAAGAAAGAAGTTAAGGAGAATACCAATTTTGTTTGTTCTCAGCAACTGGGTTTGTGTACGTTTGTGGGGAAGATCAGGGGAGGAATAGATTGGGGGAATTAAACATTTCTGCTTTGGTCAGGTTAAGTTTGAGATGCCTACTAGATATCCACATGAACCATTGGATATATGAGTCTGGGTCTCAGAGGTTATGAGGAGCAAAGGTATAACTTTGCGTATGTAAAGCCATGAGACAAGATACAATCAACCAGGGCATGAGTGTAATTAGAGAGGAGGGCCGGGGCTGAGCCAGTGAGGGGAACAATAACCAGGAGAATGTGATGTCTCTGAAACCAAGGAAAGAAAATGTCTCAACGAGAATAATAAACTATAAGAAAAGCCTTCAAGAGACCAAATAAGATGAGGACCGAGAATTGAACACTGGATTTGGCAAGATATGACCCTTTTCCTCAGAAGCTCATAGCACAGTGAGAGTGGAAAATTAAAGAAACAGATAAACTGCTATCCAATGGTGGAAGTTGTGTTCTAGAAATGTTAACAGGTCTCTGGAGATGGGTTGAAGATGGAGCAAGAAGCTTCCCTTGGAGAATCAGGGACAACTACATGGAGGAAATGTATTCTCAGATGCTGGTAGGTGGGGAAAAGGGAAAATTATCAAGATTCATAAAACTTAAAAAAATTTTTTTTAGTGGTTGTTGATTTTTCTATAATCACTCATGCAAAGCTAGTATTTCCTCTCCCGAGTGAATATCCCATTACTATCACTCCATGTGGACATATTTATCAATCATCAACACACATGATAACTATGAGGACAGTATACATACTCCATCACACCCTACACCATTTGGAGGCCACCCTTGGAATTACATTTTTCCTTGTTATAGTCTGTATCTTTTAATTATATTTAATTTCCCTTTATAGCTGTGTGTAAGTATAAAGACCCTATTCTTAATAATAATAGCTACAATGTACCTAACACCTATCATTATAAGGCACTGTTCTAAGAACTACATTAATTTATTTTGTCCTCACAAATAGTCCTGACACCTCCCTTTTATTCCATTTGTGACAATCGAGGCACAGTGAGGTTAAGTAACTTGCTCAGGGCCACACAGTGTTGGCTTCAGAGCTTACCATTTTGAGCGGTATGCTATATTTCTGTCCTTACTATTATATCTCTACCTTCCTGGGGTGGGCATCCATTAGGGAAACATCTTCAAGGGATAGGCTCTCTCTGACCTGAACTATAATTTTCTAAAGATTCAGTAAACTAGTTACATGCAGATTGTCATTTCAGAGTAGTCTGGTAGGACTCAGGGACTGGGGACTGGTTACTTCTCCACATGGAGAAGAGAGCATTCTTTTTCTTTACAATTGCTTGTAGATTCTCATGTGACTGTGTAAGAATGTAGCTTATATATTTAGAGGATGTGGTAAAAGACGCTGGAGTCTTTGTGATGGAGGAGATCCCTCTACTGATGGAAACGCTCACTTCATTACCATCCTCGATGTGTGTGGCTCATGTCTTCTTTTCCTTTATAACCTAATCATCAAGTAGCCAAAATCTTTTTTTAAAAAAAATATTTTTTCTTTATTGATTTTAGAGAGAGAGGAAGGGAGAGGGAGAAAGAGATAGGAACACTGATGAGAGAGAACATCGATTAGCCACCTCCCGCTGGGCATCAGGCCCACAACCTGGGCACGTGCCCTGACCGGGAATCAAACTGGCGACCTCTTGGTGCATGGGTCAATGCTCAACCACTGAGCCACACCGGCCGGGCAAACCAAACTCTTTAAGATGCTCAAATAACAATTAGTGGTGGTTTCGCCTTTGAGCTCTAATTTTTTTTATTGGCTGACCTCATCTGTAAAGATGGTTTTATTCTCTTTCTTTTTGGATACTATCCTGCAATGGGCTCACCCAACAGATGGGGATACAATACCTAATTTTCGAAGGCATTCAAACCTCTTCCTGGAGTAGATTTTGGTTTCCACCTTTGATCTAACACAGGTGTTAGAAATGTTTTTGAAATTAGGTACCAGCCAGTTTTCCTTCCCTGGCTGAATCTAAAACGTTTACAGGTCACCTATCCTAATAACTTTAAGTTGCAGATCCCATAGTTTCATAAGTCATTGTCCCCCCCCCCCCCCCATGGGAAAAGCCTATCTGTTCTTCTCTTTATTATGTTCTCATTAAAACATTCTTCCCGCCCTGGCCGGTTTGGCTCAGCGGTTAGAGCGTCGGCCTGCGGTCCGGAGAGACCCGGGTTCGGTTCCCGCTAAGGGCACGTACCTCGGTTGCAAGTTTGTCCCCGGCCCTGGTTGGTCGTGCGGGTGGCAGCCACTCGATGTGTCTCTTTCACGTTGATGTTTCTCTCTCTCTCTCTCTTCCTCTCTCTCCCTCCCACTCTATCTGTGCAAAAAAATGGAAAAATGTCCTCGGGCGAGGATAAAAAAAAAAATTCTTCCCTAGGCACAGTCATTATATTTTCAGAAAAGCTGAGGGGAGCTAGCTTTTAATTTCTACAAATATAGGGCTGCCGGGAAATGGGCTCCGCGGTGCTCCCCCTGTGTGCTCTGGAACATTGTCATAAACCCTGTAAATGGAGGAGGCGGGGGCCGAGGTGATTGTTTAGCTCTGGAAAAGAAGCTACTTCCTGCAGAAAGAGGATTTCAAATGGCCACATCACAAAGCCAACACTCACACAGGTTTCCTGTGGGCCATTTCCCCTCTGCTGAATCTGACCCAACGCCAAGGCGAAGGAAACTTTCCTCTTATAAAATCCCAAACTCTGATAACTCATCAAGCTGATCCCCGTGTTACAAAAGTTATACAATCAATGCGATTGTGAACTTCTGAAGAATTTCATGAACTTGGTTTTAGGAAATTGAATAAGATTTGTTTTGGAAATGAAGAGAAAAAGTAAGAGTCACATGGAAACATTTAGAAACGGTATCACGCTGATAAGCTACCACACTACACGTGTTAGAACACTTAAAAATATATATACCTGAAAGGATTAAGTTGTGACAACAATATGTTAACTGTCATGCTTTAAAATATTTTATCCCCAGTTTTGTCCTTTTGGGACATACTTTAAAATGTTTCAAATTTTATTTTTACTTTTTAAAACCTATCCAATAAAAATGTTTCTTTTCCTTCAAGATACAGATCTCCTAATAGACATTTAAACCCTTTTAATACTTCCCCTCAACCCACAACCCCAGGAAAATCAGAGTACAGTAGTAGCACCAATTGTTACAGAAAAACGGAAATTCCAATGTTGTTAATCTCAGCATTTGCATTTATGAATGGCATGAGGTGAATATAGAAAAAGTGGCAAGAACACTTTTTTCACCAATTGTGTGGTGAGTGGAGATTTTACTTTTGTAAAAAAAAAAAAGAGCGGTGAGGCAATCCCACTACATTTAAAAATGTTCACAATAAAAAGTTAATGCATCTCAGGCGCCTGTTGAGTAAAATCCCTGGCCCCCAAACCTACAGGACATTTCAGGGAATCTCCCCAGTATCATTCAATCGATTTAAGGGGGGAGGGAGTGTCACAATACAAATGGATGTACACATGTCCTCCTAATAATTCCAGCCAAGTCCTTGGTCGTATGTCACGCTAATCTCCCTGGGTACGGCCATGCCCACACCCCACACCGGCAGTGGAACTCAGCCAGGCCCCTGTGAAGTTGAGGTGTCTCCTCCCGCGTCACTCACCCCGTCGGCAGGACAGACGTCCCCCTTTCTCTTACCTGCGTAGTGGTCAAACACCGTGGGCACGTATTCCTCCGGGAAGGCGTCGTTGGCGTAGCTCATCAGCAGGCAGGTTTTCCCCACGGCCCCGTCCCCCACCACCACGCACTTCAGCATCGTCTTCTCGCTGCCGCCGCAGCCGCAGCGGCTGTCATCTCCCTGCCTGCAGTTCATTCTGGCCGCTCGGGCTGCTGTGCCCGCGGCTGGGACCGGGCTGCCGCCCTGGCTCCCCCCCGAGCCCATGAAGCGGCAGGAAGCCAGCGCGGGCTCCGATCACTCTGCCTGACTTCGGGCGCCCGGGACCGCCCGGACTGGCCCGCGGCAGCTGGCGGACGCCCCCTGGCACACCATGCCGGCGGAGAAGGCAGCGCACCCTCGAGAATGCCTACAAGGGTCTGTCTCCTTCCAGCGTGAGTCCAGAAACCCTCATCGCCACTGAGTTCTGGGGGCTCCCTGGCAGCCTGGGAAGTTCGGCAGCCGGAGGGGTTCACGCTGCTCCCCGCCTCCCCAGCCTGGCCGAAGACACGGGCTGTGGCTGGAGCGTCCCCGCTTTGCACTTCGCAGCGAACATGGAGGAAAGCGGGGCTCCCTCGCGGAGCTCCCCTGCCTGCTCCGGCTCGCCGGGCGTCAGGAAGTCATGGGTTTCCTGCCGCATTCCATATTAGGGCCAGCGGGCCGGGGAGGCTGCAACAATGGGAGCTCTGTGTGCGTGTGTGTACTTCTGGGGAGCGCTGCCAGGACTCGGCGGGAAAACACTGGGGGTCCCACTGCAGACTCAAGCTGTCAGACTTCCTGTTTTGTCCACCGCTGGGGGCTGCTTGCCTGCGCCTGGCTGGGAAGAGGCTGATGAAAGGATGGAAACTGGGGAGGACTGTCTGCCACAGAAACGGGGGACGGTTTCAGCGAGCGGGAGAACCACACCAGCCGTTGTAGGATAACATATGACATCATCCCTCCCTGAGTCACCAGTTAAAAGCTCTGTAAATTAAAAATGGACAGTTCTTCATGTACTTAAAGGAGAAATATTAAGCAATTCCTCCCTGCAATAAAGAAAAAAAAAACAACCTTCCAGAGTTAGTTACACTGTTTCAAAGGGAAATGTAGATCATGAGTGGAGTAAGTGAGATCAGGTTTATAAGTTGCCACAGTTGAGTACAATACTCAAACAAATGTGTATTCCAGACACAAACATTTTTTGGTCGTAGCACATAAGAAACAATCAGATGTGAGACATTTGCATCTTCTTATTAGTGAATAAACACACATGTGCTTGGCTCACCCTTACCCTTGGAAATGAGTGTGTGGGACGGCTTTATTGGTTTGTTTTAGGCCCCCAAACAATGCTTTTACTTGGACGGTTCCCTTTTAGATTTAGCCCCATCCCCTTGGGTCAGCCTGGCTGCCTTCAATTACAAAGGAGCCATTGGCAGCCAATTTATTTGTCTGTTGGATCACTCAAAATGAAGCCCCTTTGAAGCTCTGTGGTTGATTAATATACTTGGTATTAGAAAAGAAGTGGAACTCTGAAAATGATTTTGACAAATGGGCCAAGTCCTTTTTTGAAGGGAAAACTGTTTTTTTTTTTTTTTTTTTTTTTTTGATATTTTTGAACACTATTCAGATTATCCAATTGATTCGAGGAGGTCTTTCTTTCTTTCTTTCTTTCTTTCTTTCTGTGTGGAGAGGGTGGGAGAGAAGTCTTTCTCTCTATATATCCACATATATACACTATTGTGTAATAGATACAGTCCTGGATTTCTTCTGTTTTGGATTATAGTTATATTTGCCATAGAACTTAATGTCCCAGTATCATTACTATAAAGGGTTGGTGTTTCAGTCAGGTTATGGTGTATCTACTAGGATATGTTGCTGTAACCAACAGCTCCCAATGCTCGGTGATATAGAATAACATGTGTATTTCTTGCTTACACATCTGAATTGTATATTTTTGTCACCTTCTGGGATCTAGGCTGGTAGAGAAGCCCCATTGAGAACATAGATGATCATCACTGTGGCAGAGGAAGAAGTTAATGTGGTGAGGTGGCATCAGCTCTTAAAGCTTCCTTCTGGAGGTGACACTCTGTTGTCCACTTGTCAAGCACTGTGCGTACAGGTTTACCTCTGTGTAGACAGATGCCTTTTCCTAAGTTAGTGTCGTAAAGTGTTATACGGGCTAATAGCCCAACCTGACCCCATCTCCGGCCCTCAAACTGGGACTACGGCTCTCTCAGTTCCTGGGCTAGCAGCACCCATGTTCCAGGATGTCTCCCTCCTGACTGCAAACCAGAGAGTTTGTAGGACTCTATCCAGGGGTCAGAGGGCGTTAGAAAACCAGAGATCATTTAGTTGAGGTTGAATTAGTGGTGCAAAAGTTGAATTGTTTATTCTTAGTGGATATAAAGCATTTGAAAGCCCTCTTTACTGCATGTGAAATATATATATATTTGTATTTCCATCTCATCTACCTGAAACATCTGGAATATGTGGTAATAAAATTGCAATTTGAAAACTTATGCTTTTCTTCTAGAAAATAGGCTCACCCTTGCTGGTTTGGCTCAGCGGTTAGAGCATTGGCCCATGGACCAATGAGTCGCTGGTTTGATTCTGGTCAAGGGCACGTATCTTGGTTGTAGTTCATCCGGGCCCTGGTAGGGTCATGCGGGAGGCAACCAGTCGATGTGGCTCTATCACATCAATGTTTCTCTCTGTCTTTGTCTCTCTCTCTCCCCCTCCCTCTTACTCTGTCTGATGATAAATGAAAAAATATCCTCAGGTGAGGAATAAAAAAAAAAAAAAAAGGCTTGAGTGTGAACATGGCTGCCAAATACATCTGTGCAGGTGAAGGAGTGACTGACAGTGTTGAGAGCTCCATCCGGAAGTGAACAAGATCACTTTGAGGGAGTTCTGCCTTTGACCTTGTCCCTGAGATCAGACAATAAATGTGGCTTGGGGGTAGAATGTATTTACACCATCCAAATGCGAGTTCTCAGACATGCTGCCTAGCCTGTATTTCTACATTACAAATATGCCCCCACCCACTGAACAGTTGGTGTAGGAAAAAATTGAGAAGTTGGATTGGGTAAAATTTTGCTATGACTATGTATAACCTTAATCTTGTGTCATCACCACAGGTATTTAAGTTCATGCCCTTTGTTATGTGGACTGCAATTTAAGAGACATTTAGGAGACTTGATGCAACCAGGTTTGGGTCTTTTACCTCTGACTCAAAGGATTGGTACATCTGCCAGGTTGGATTGTATGCAAAGGTGGTCAAGGCTGTAGAGAACATTGGCTATATCTCTCAAACTTGTTTCATCATTTTTACTGTCCCTCCTGCCCACTGAATATTTATAGGGAAAAATGTTTGAGACAAGCTAGTAAAAATGGCAAAAAAGTTAAAATTTTAATAGCCTGTTCATTACATGGATCATGTTGTCCATGTGAGGATACATCTTTTTAAACATTAAAAGATAGACCTGAAGCAGAGTAATAGAATCTTAAAAAAAGACCAAAAAAAGGGGACAATTCAGCATTGTCTTTATAGGTTCATGAGTTTAAAGAAATGTGATTACTTGTCCTAGTAGAATGATCAAAATATACTTTAATTTTAAAGGTTTTTAGGTATGAATTTAGAAGTGGTATGAAGACCGTTTGCTTAAATATTCTTTTCCAGATGTCATGTGAAATGACTGAGTGGTGGTTTCATAGCCATTAATTATTTGGTTTACCTCAAGCCCCAAGTTTACACAAACTTACCGGCATGGTGAAGTGTAGTTAGGAGGCATTTCCTGCTTTTTCTAAGAGATCTTAATTCCTTGGCTCCCCCTGTCCTCTGAGCTTTTGGCTTCACATGAGTTTTGCCAAATACATTTTTGCATACGATCTGACTCCTCTGAAGGCTTCCGGTTTTAGTGTGACTTAAAAAAAAAGAGCCCAGACATTCCTCCTCTATTTTTCTTTCTTTTGTATTTGAAACTTGAAGCTACACAGGGAAAGAATGCAACTGGATCAGATACTCCAATTCTGAATCAGCCTCTGCCTGGAAGACTGCTTTAACTCTGACTTTGAGAATGTGCTGTGGGGGCTAGGATTCTGGATGTCCAGCTCCGTGATTGAGAGTCACCCCCATTCCAGAGTCAGACCTCGAGTGTGTGTGGGAGGAGGGGTTATGGTGTGAGGCAGGAGGGGCTGGGAGTTGTAGGAGCTCTGATCTCAATCTCCCGCTGGGACTAAACATCAGCATCAGTTGGAACACTGCTGAAACTTAACATACTGTCCTAGGACTAGCCTGGACCGGAACCACCCATCCCCAGGGGCAGTGAGTCACTGCTATCAGGGACACTCATTCCTTAAGCTCTTCCTTAGCCTCAGAAATAATTCTATAATTGATGCTGGTGTAATATAGCTCTTCTCACAGTTATGCTAGAAAAATCAAATGAGCATTTGAGAAGCTGAGGTTCTTCTGTGAGGCAGCTGGGTAAGCCGTGGAATCCAGGCTGGTGGATTCTGTTCAGATGCCACCACTCTCCCCGCCATTGCCAGGGTAGGCGTCATCACGGCGCACATTCCGGCCGAATCTGCACATGGCCCGAAACCTTCTCAGACCTGAGCTCCAGGGGTCTGTCACAGACTGATTGGCATGGAAAGTAAAGTGCTTTCTAACACTGCTCAACCTTCACCAGCTGCGGAAAGTAGCTCTTCCTACGTAATCAAGGAGGAAGGAGAAAAGGGAGCTGGATCGTGTAACATTTAACAAACAACTATGGTTATGTTAGGCACTGTGCTAGGAAATTTTGCACACTTACCACATTCAATCCTTTCGATAACCAGAGTGGTAGGTGTCATGCTTTCCGTTGTTCTTAAATGAAAACAGTCTCAGGCCCAAAGTCCCAGAGGTGGTTGGTTAAGTGACGGGGCAGGACTTCAAGTCCAAGTCGGAATCCGAAGGCCATATCACACTTGTTCTTCAAGCCTTTTTATTTATTTTTTATTTTATTATTATTACTTTTTTATCCTCACCCGAGGACATTTTTCCATTTTTTGTACAGATAGAGTGGGAGGGAGAGAGAGGAAGAGAGAGAGAAACATCGACGTGAAAGGGACACATCGAAGTGGCTGCCACCCGCACGACCAACCAGGGCGGGGGACAAACTGCAACCGAAGTACGTGCCCTTAGCAGGAACCGAACCTGGGTCTCTCCGGACCGCAGGCCGATGCTCTAACTGCTGAGCCAAACCGACCAGGGCCTTCAAGCCTTTTTAGCATCATTGCTAATAACCAATTGTTTATATGATTTTGAATGTACAGTATAGATTTGGGGAAGTGGCTGGAAATACAGTTTACCATGGATTTATTAATTTCTGCAACAGATGTTCATTGAGCACTTACCAGGTACTAGGGATATTGTAGTGAACAGATCAGATTAAAAATAAGTTTCCTTGTGGAACTTATAGTCTAGTGGGAGGAGGTAAATAATAAACAATGAACAGAGTAGATATATAAATTATCTTCATAGGTGAGAAGTCATATGGGAAATTAAGAAGACGGTAGCAGGATAAGGATACTGACCAGAGAAGAGGGGAGGGTTCT